CACACCCACACCCACACCCACACCCACACCGACACCCACACCGACACTCACACCCACACGCGCACAGCAACATACACACGAACACCCACACCGACACTGTCACCCACACGCGCACACCAGCATCCACACGGACATCCACACCCACAGGCACATCCACACCCGTGTATCTTAGTTTGAAGATGAGTTTTTACAATTCTTCTGTTGCTGTGTGATTTTTGGAATATTGTGTGTCGTATATTTTTTTTTGCTGGTGAATTTTTCCAGGAATGAACAATATTTGTCGGAGAAAGACGTAATTGTAGCCGACGACGACCGATAGTTTATATTTGGTGGCTGTCGTCGACGGCGGAAGCATGCAGTGCTGCGTATATAAGGGGGAAAGATTTTTTGTTGTGTTTAGATTCAATTCTAACATTATATGGTAAGGTTGGAACGCTTTATAAAAGAATTTTTGTGTTTCGTACGGAGTAAGTTCAAACTGTGTTACTGGGATTAGCAAATTTTGGAACAGTTTGTGTTTTATCTGAAGTAAATTCAAACTGAAGTTTATGTCGTTAGGTAATTGTGATAGTTTGATATAATATTATATCACTGAACCGTGGTCACCAATTCAGTTTTTATTAGTTATTTTGAAGATACAGAGTAAATAGTGCCATCGAAATTATTTGCTTAAACAGTATTCATAAAGGGAAAACTGATATTTGTTTGAGTTTGAGCAAGAATGAAATGTTTTTACGTGTGACATACGAGTTGTATTGTTCAGAGTTGTTGTGGGACAATTGATATATTTTAGAAATAATGTCTGCTTGAGACGCTAATACATCTTCAAACGCAGCATTTTATTTTCGATATTTACCGTTGTTTCTTACGAAATTTAATGTCATCGCGGTTTTAGTTAACTGAATATTAGTAGTATTGTAGTATTTGAACAATTCTTGAGCTTAAGATCTGGATGCAAAGATAACAGCTTTCTTATGAACCAACGTTCATGTATGAGATATGCATTTTACATGACGTTGCTAGGCCATCTTTTTATTCGTATATTCTACTAATTTTACGATCTTTTAAAAAGGATCCATCATTTTTTGTCATAGTCCTATTCTACTATGACAAATGTGTGCTAACAAAAGATAAATATCTTCAAATTCATACAAAACTAGATAATAATTAACGACCAAACAGGGGAATAAATACATGTCAAGAGTGAGGAGATGACAAGTGACATTGATGTATAATTAAGAACTTACGATGATTAAAAATAAAGCGTGGTCTAGGGCAGACATAAGTATAGTGATGTAATAATGAACAATAATAATATGCTGATTAAGAGTGAAATCATATGGTCATCGGTGAGATATAGAAACAGTGTCATTGTTTACCAATAGATAGGAATTAATCGAAGATAGATATGTGTAATCAGAGCGATTATATAAATATTAGTTAGCTATAATTAGTTATTTATGTTATATGTGGAATATATATATGTTAGAAAAAACAAATCTGATGTTTTTATGTAAGTGCGCATATCAACTGATGTACTGATCTGCTAATGCCAGTTCCAATTTTCAAAGCTTACTTTGAATACTTAATTCTCACATCCAATAATAATTTTCAGATGACTTCTTGACACATATCAATAATGTCTTCACGAAGAACACGTAATATGGCATCTGCTCAATCGATTGCTGCAGAGCATGTACAGCGTGCTACAACTCGTATATATAATGAAGCTGCATTGAATCCATCTCTCATCGTGTCTCCATACATTAATGCGTGGTTAGAAGAGCATTCAAAAGTATACATGTACGATCCAGTTGGCGTATTACAGTACATCTTATCATTGGCTTCGTTTCTTGGCGAAGATAATTACGTTTACCGTAATAATCGAAAAAAAACACCTACAACACTTTATTTATCGTTATGTACTCGTCCTGGTATGAAGTGTAAAATTTTTCTAAACACTTCTATGAAAGTTGTTTTTATTCAGCTTACGGAAAATCAGATTTGTTTCAAGCTACAAAAGATTCAATCATCAACTTGTTATGCATTCGACAAAGTCTTGGAGTCTATACTCGTTCAAATAATCGAAAAGCTAAAACAAACATCCAAATGCCCGATTTGAATGCTTTTGCCGATGAGGTAAAACTTAACTGAAGTTTAGAATTGGCATCACAAAGAATTGTATTGTGAACAGAATTTTCTATAAGACTTTTTTTCCGAATACATAATTACATGTGCACCCTATGAGTGCGATTAAAAGGTAACTGTGCTCTATCTCAGAAAATTTTTATTAACATTTTCTTAGAAATATAGATTTTCTTGATCAATATATACATAATGTTATCCTATAATTTGAGTGTGCCGTAACATGAAATAGAAATATTTTCAGATCCTTGTTGATAAAATATAGATATCGTTGAGTATGTGTATTCTACATTAATGATGATTCATTTAAAATTAAAAATAAACTAAAGAATAAAAATAAATTTGTTTTTATCATTTAGCTTATTTCATTTAAAATTAGAAATAAACTAAAGAATAAAAATAAATTTGTTTTTATCATTTAGCTTATTTCATTTAAAATTAGAAATAAACTAAAGAATAAAAATGAATTTGTTTTTATCATTTAGCTTACCAGACTCGGTCTCTTGACGGCTCTTGAAAAAACACCACGATTGCTATTATTTGATGAACTTGATCAACTTTTTATTCGTAATGGCCTTATTCCATTGCCAAATTCAACACAAAATGAAAACAATTTTTACGAGATCGCTCTTCAACTTTATAGCGATAACTGCTTATTTTCAAAACATACCAGCTCGTCTGAAATAACATTCCAGTCAAAACGTATGTGCATTATGGGTAATCATACACAGGAACCTTGCAACCGCCTGGTATTACGTAAATTGAATAGCGAAGGACCCAATCCATTTTTTGAACGACATTTAATGTTATGTGCACGTACACCAGTAACAGAAGAAAAACTTAATCCAGATCTATTCAATTATAAACGTTTTGCATCCTTCGATCAATTATCCATGACAATGTCATTTCTGGTGGTTCTTGATTTTTATTTTGATGATGAAGGTCGTGCATTAGCAATTGGTTTTTGCAATAGTCTAATGAGAGAAAGTAAGTGCTATCTACGCAGCACATATAGTAGCATTCTAAAGAGCATTGTGTGGGTTCCATCATAAAAAATTATATCACATCAATCCCAAAAGTAACATCTAGAATATTTCTATGTAATAGGAGCCATTTTACATGCCAATCTCATATAAATGAAAACCTTTCTTTTCCCCATCATTGTAGCTCCGTAGGCTTTCAGCAAGGGAAAAACAGCGGATCCTAGAACCTTGGATCCTGTATATCCTCATGGATTCTTGTGGATTGTAGGACCTATGCATTCGATAGTGTCAAAGTTCGTCAGAAGTTATTTGAATTCACAAAAATTCATGGAGTCTATTGTAATTCACCAAAGTGCATCCATACCTATTGTATTTTACCCATGTACATTGCTTTTTAATTGATGCAGATAACGTGAATCCTAATGGATCCTGATCAATGCCAATGAATACCAGTAGTTTATACATAAGATTTATTGCAATCTACGAAAATTCATCCGAATTACTTTAATCTAATAAACCCATCCGAGTTCACTATAATCCATCAAAAATCAATTAGCTTTATAATAATTTGCAGCCAATGTATGCAGGTAGATTCTGATGGTTCCTGTTGGGTTCTATCACATCAAAGAATTTGCTTTTTTGTCTTTAGCTTTAAGTTTTTTAACAATATAAATAGCTAGTGACATTTTCTCTACATTTAAAAGGATATAGAATGTTAATGAACATTATAGTGGATGAAACGCCTGTTTTTCTTTTGCTGTCAATTGATATTTTTATATAAACTGCTGTTCTTTTTCTAATATATTTTTTAGTGCGAGCAATTGAATCTAGTGATTCTTGGCTATGTGCTCGTTTGGGAAAAAGTCGAGAACATACATTACGTCTTGCAGCATGTATACAATTACTTGAATTAGCATTTTATCTTTTGGAAAATTATCGAATTCAATACGGTGATTTTGGAAGTGGATTAGCCGATGATCAATTTCATCAACGAATGTTAATTATTGCTAGTGAATTTCTTAAACGACAACCATTGCCTAATTATGAAGACCGAATTAAAGCTAATCCTGTTGCAATTGAAATCCATAATGATGTAGTACGCGGTGCTATTAATTATGTTCAAATTATTATTCGTCAATACTATTTATTATTTGTTGATTTTGATGGAGTTACGTATGTAAATTTGTTCTTTTTTCTTCATATTCCTATCACATTAAATAAATGATTTTTTAAGTACTAATTATGTAAAACTGTAAAATGTGCACCTAGATCGTCATATTGATGTGATCTCGTCTCAGCTTGTTAGTTAGCTCGCTGGAAATCATTAATAACATAAACATCTATCAACTTGGTATTTTTTTCAAATAATTTGATTTTATTCATGTTGTATAGAAATACGAATCAAACAGTTCCATTACGAAAGCAACAAATGCCTATTGTTCCTAATACTATGGCAACCAAACCGTGTCCACTTATTCAAGTTAACAATCAGTCAAATATTGATACATATGAAGATGTTAATGAAAATCAAATAAATTATCATCCTATTGATAATCAAGTTACTACTGAAAATGTTCTGGGTCTTGACAAGAAAGGTATGAAATTTGCCAAACATTATCTTACCTACAACAGTTGGATTTTAACAAATAAATCAATTAATTCAAACATGCGTCACAATACTCATATGAAAAATACTGTTCTTCAACATCTAGTCGTACAAAAATTTGTTATCGAAATCAAAGGTGGTCTGAAAGGTATAAATGCACGGTCGAGTCCTATTGATATATGGGTAAAATGTATGCCACCTTCTCTTAATGATCTTTCTCTTATTCGAAAATGGGATGAAGAATTATCTGTATATGATGTCTCATGGGATCAGTATGCATCTACTCTTTCTAATATTAACCTTATGGAAGAGTTATACATGACTGATTCACTTAATACATTTATTAATAAAAATTATGTGACAATCAGTATGTTCATTCATGTAAGGTTACTTCGTTAAAACTAATAAACTTCTTATAAAATTAAGTTTGAACATTCATTTCATTTCTTTATAGGATGATGTTTTATTTCAACTTGTTCCACCAGATACTGAAAACATATCTGTTTCGTGTGTTGCACCTTCATCTGCATCAAAACCAACATTCGAATTGGATATTGAAAATGATCAACAAGAAGAACACATCGAGAATATTGAATTCAACGAACAAGATGATGAAAATGAAGAAGAAGATGCATTACTTTATCAAGATAATGGTTTGTGCTATTTTTAGATAGTCATTTTAGGATCCGTTTGAAGTTATTCTCATAAGTAGTTTGGACTTCAGAGGTTCTGATACATTTTTATTCGTAGAATAGTTTGATTTATGAGTTCTTATTCATCCATCTATCTATTGATACATATATATAGGTATGGTTTCTTATCATCGACAACAAAATAATTCATCATCTTCTTTACCTCAAAATGCTGCATCATATAAAATTTTGAAGCAACAATCGGTTGTTTTATCTTCACTCTCAAATAATCCACCAGTCAACAATAATCTTCAACGACAACAATCACGTTCATCTATTGATACGTCTAATTTTTCCATTCAAACACAATCGAAAACGCCTCAACCAAAAATACCAATTAGCAATAGCCGAGGAGCGCATAGATCATTGTCGTTTAATATGATGCATCATGGAACAACAACATCCATATCACGACCTCATTTTCCAACCAATACCACATTATTTTCAACTCATCAACAAATGCAGCAGCAATCTGCTCGAAGTACAAGTGCAGCTACAGTTATTGGATCTAGTCTAAATAATTTTCATCATGAAATTGACAGTGCTGAACCAAGTCGTAGTGCATTTGAACTTATGTCTACAAGATTATTGCAAAGCGAACAAAATCGTAAAACGGCTGCCAAGAATAATAAAACATTCAAGAAATAACTACTATTAAGAGTTTCATGTAAATAACTATAATTCATGTTCGAGTGTATATTATTTGTGATCATTGTACAATATACTATTTTTTTGTATTAGCTGAAGTGTGATGAATAGTTTATTCTTCTAGTAGTTCTATTTTTTTGTAAATGAGAATTTCCTGCTCTTGTAAACTGAATCTCGTATATTGCTTCTTATTATATTTGCGAATAGCTTGATTTATTTGTATTTCTTCTTCCAGTGTTCACCATTCATTGAGTTACAGATTTGTAAATCGTTTATGAATATTGAATACTTTGTTTGTGAACCTTTTTCTACTTGTTTATTATTATTATGCATAGTGAAAATATGAGAAATAGTTGTGTTAAATAAATCCTGGATGGCTACATCTACGATACGTTTTCTTTTTTTTTTCGTTACTTGTATAATTACAATAGTACCTATCAAAATAATAAGTGTACTAGATGAAATTTACGTGTTTTTGACGAGTCTCATATAAAAATTTACTTCAGGTTTGATGACATATAGAGTGTATTCTAGTTTGATTTCTCCATATGAATATAAGGGGATAAGATAGAAGAAACAATGTAACGAGTACTTTCTCTAGATTCTTTTTTTAATGATTCAAAATTCATTTTATATAATGCAGATCTTAGTTTCAATGACTGAATAAAATTAACTAAACTAATATAACATTATTTGCTGTATTATATCTCTACGTGTAAGCTGCTATATAAATATTAATATTAGATTTTCGAAGATTTTTGACACAACATAATTGTTCAAGATTCTTTTAAATTTAATTTCTTATTGAAGTGTTTTATTATTATGATTTCTTTTTCCTACTCGAAACTTTCTCGAAAGTAAAGAAGTTTTTCAAAAAAAATACAAAACAATTTCAGGCGTAACCGCCGACGCCGTTGATAGTCAGAAAAAAATTAAAACTTTTCAGCCGCCACCACGGACGGAGTCATTGGGTTTAAACATGTAGCTGTATATAAAAGAGGATGACATCGTAGTGTTTTTTGCTTATTCAATAATTTGACTTTGCTATCGAACGATATGAATAGTACAGCATCATCAATGAATGGTCTTATCGGACTGCATTGGCAATGGCCTATGTTATCAAGCGTTATCGAACAAATTCCAATTCAAAAGTTAGCACTCATCGAACATTTATGCTCATTAATTAGTGAAAATAATGACCAAACGTTTATTCATATTAGTGAACTACTTCGAAATCAATATCAAGTTGGTATTGATTATCGTACTCTTCGTCTTTTATCAACAATGTTCGGTATATCTATTCCAAACTTTTATACACCCGGCAATCATATCGAAATTATTAATTCTTTCTCTTTAACGAACAACACTCCTTTTTTTTCTACTATTCATTTGTCCAGCTGTTACACTAAATGTATTTTATGTGACAGCAATTTACGTAAATATACTCTCCAGTCAGTCAAGATTTATCATGATAATGGACAAAGTTTTAATGGTATTATAAAAAATATGTCATGTACTCACAGTCATACAGCATTTCATGATAATCATCCTATTTATTACTTGCCAAATTATATATGTCAATTATCAAATAATGGCAAATACAAACGTGTGTTCTATATTTCGGACTTTTTTCATAATTGTAAATATATTTATATGGGTGGAAAAACAGCATTCGAAAGATCTTTATTAATACGTTATCTGGTCGATCTGTATGTCGGTGGAAAAACAGTTCATGCTTATATTCAATCCTACAACCATCGACAAATATGGACATATGGTCATCGACCATTGAATGAGTTGCTCTTTTATCGATTTGTTATTTCATTTGGTCTTCTTCATTTTTATTTCTGGATGGGTTATGAAAAGGTGGAATTTCCAAAGAATGTTAAGGGCGATAAATTAGAAAGTTTTTTTTATGAATCCCATGAAAATGTCAAACAGTGTTTTATTCGATTTTGGGGTCGTCATAATGTTTTTTTTCCATGCAATACCAGCTGCTCGAAATTAATCAATGCTGATGGCAACTGGAAATTTGGACGTCACATTTGTATGGACAAGACAAAAGTCAGTTTACACTTTATAATCAGTGTAGTATGTAGTATTTCACTTGATGACACAAAGCTTTTTCATTGATACTGTTCAAAGAGAAAAAAACACTAAATAATCGAAGTTTCTATTGAGAAATATTTTTTTTTTACTTTCGTAGCAAACGTAAAACTTCTTATTTTCTAAGTAAATGAGACGCTATTGCTTCTAATAACAATCTAATAATTCATTCATGTTATAAAACAGAATGTTTCATATTCAGGTTAGAAGAACTGCTGAGTTCGATTCGGTCATCGTCGGATGTGATAAAACACCGAAGCCTGGTGAAGATTATTGTGATGAACATCGTGATCGTCGTGGTATATCTATGGTGTGTGAAGACGAAGATTGTATCGATAATGGAGATTTTATTACATTAAGAAATGGTAAACAATATGTGCGTTATCAATCACTCACATGTAACACCATAAAAAGCTTTCCAATGAAGTATGTTAGTGTTTGTCATCGATCATTCGGCATTATAGTGTACTTCACAAATTGTGGTGTATGCTTGTCAATCAATGAAATTTATCGAAGTGAAACTGTTAAAGAGATTTTGATGGGGTGGTTCGACATTATTTCAGCGACTAGCACAAACATTAGTTCAGCTTTACCAAATGAAGAAGCTAATACACCTCTTCCTCGAGTTGTCTTATATGACGATTGTTGCCACCTAATCAAATATTTGATTGATTACTATGATTATACAATTCACAAGACACCAGCATCGAACTGGCTTATACATTGCCAATTTGCTATCGACAAACTTCATTGGCCAAATCACAAAGACATATGGTGTCGTAAATATTTGTGTCCATACAAGTAAGAGTATTTTGTATTGATTATTCTTAAATTGTCACATAGTCATAAGATATTCACTACTTTTTTGATTCACTTGTTAGAAAAACTATGATAGCCAACCAAATGATCAGATCGAGAGTGGAACGTCAGTCAATTTGAACAATTAGTAATATCTTTTAGAAGGAATACATTTTCACATAGGTAAATGAAAAATAAACAACGTTTGTTAAATATGAGTGCAAGCTTTGTCAGACCTTTTTACATACAATGGTCGCCAAAATTACCCTACCGCAAGTCATTTGGATTGTATTTTGTAGCGAAAAGTATTAGAAGAAATCCAAATATAATTTCAATAGAGAAAATTGTTCTCAATAAGAATATGATAAAATGGTGATTAACAATAAATTCCCAAAAACAAAACATCGAGAATACCTAAGCCATCATTTTTTCAGCATCTCGAAGTCGCGAAAAAACCGTAGTTCTGTTTCTCTACATCAATACAATAGCTAATTTCCTACAAAATGAGAAGCCTCCCGAGCTTTCTACGATCATTCTATCAAAGGTTATAAGCATTACAAAATCTGAAAAAATGTCAAATTTATCAGAAAATTACCAAAATATTCCATATTTTGGGTTTTTTGTAACGCTTATAACGTTTGATAGGATGGTCGTAGAAACCTCTGAGATGTCTCATTTTGTAGAAAATTACCTGCTATATCGATGTAAAGAAACACAATGACGGTTTTTTCGCAACTTTGAGATGTTGAAAAACGAAGGTTTTGGTATTCTCGACGTCCTATTCTTGGTAATATATCGATAATCATCATTTTATTATATTCTTGGAAACAATTTTTTTCTATTGAAATCATATTTCGATTTCCTCCAACACTTTCCGCTACAAGATAAAATCCAAATTATATGTAGTAGAGTAATTTTGGCGGCCACTGTATGTAGAAAGTAGAAGTGTAAGCCGATTGGTTAAGCAGCCGCCGCCGACATAGCCAAAAAGTTAATAATAATTCAGCCGCCGTCGCCAATCAACCTATTGGCTTACACTTCTAGCAAAAAGTATTATCAGTTGATAGAATGATACAAAAGTAGATGCTAGGTAATACATTTGTTCTATTTTAACAGATTAAGAGCTCATCAATCATTCCACCCATATTTTTATCGTTCATCAAAAAGTATCAGAACATATTTTGCAACAATTTCCAAACTTGAAAATACTGAGAAATCTTCTCATTTACCATTTATCTATGTAGGAATCCAGTTGTGCAAGCCAATAATACTCAGTCGTGTGAGCAAGCTAATTCAGTATTGAAGAAATACGTTAATCAATTCAACAGAATGAATGAAGAACGTTCAGTGTTAATGTTATATTTCCTAATGCACGGCCGCAATTGTATTTTAAAAAATGTAAATCCTTTTGCGCGTTGTGTAGCAACAAGCAAGGTAAGCTTTAAAAAGAAAAACATATTTACAATTGAAATTTTTAGGATTCAGAATGGAACAGATTCAAACCGAGTGTTTGATATTAGAATGATGAGAACTTTCGTTCTGATAGTGAAATAATATTAACTTCAATCGTTTTATGTATAAATTTTGTTGAATTACTGAAATTTTACTAGCATAATAATCGTGGTTTGTTTATTCTTTATTGTAATCATAATTCATTCTTTTTTCACTAAATAAATGCTAGTTTCTTTTATATGGAACCAATTAAAAATAATTTAGCATTAAAAATTTGCTTGTTTGTTTCAGATGCCTATGAATACAAGAAACGCTGCCAATCGTCCTACTGTACAAACAGAAACGTCGAAGTCTAAAAAACTTCCAGCATTTTTATTGAAAGGTTTAAAACATACAAATAATGAATACCAAGATGAAGAATCTTCTTCGTATTCCGAGGTTGAGGTACGTATTTCATATAATCTAAAGTTTTTCATTGAACACTGGATTTCAAAAAGTACTTTTTAAAGGAGATATAAGAAAGTAGTCACTTATAAAATAGAAGGATCTTTTCATGAACGTCATTTTTATGCCCAACAATAAATGTCAAATCTTTATACCTGAAGTACCTATAAATACATATTTTCTGAAAATTTGCACAAACATTATTTTCATTTCTTTTAGAATCTTCCAATGCAAAATTCAAAACGTGTAAATTCAAATGCTGCAGATAGCCGAAATAAAGATCGGCTAGCAAAAAAAACACGAATAGTAGTATTGATGAAAAAACATTTACTCAGAAGCTAACTACAAACTGTTTGCTAATTTAACTATTTCTCACAATATTTAGAATGAAAATGAGATGGAAATGCATGACAGTAATTTATTAGTAGCTGATTCAAGCCATATAACTCATCTTGAAGAATTATCACCACCGGTAAATTCACTCCATGCCATAGTTCAGAAATGAAAGCGAGATATAATTGTTAACTTACTGTTTAGATTCAACAAAATGACAATCAAGCATCTATGTTATATACTAGTAACATTTATCAACCACCAAGTGCAACACCCAATGCAATTAATGTAGAAGGCGATCAACCATCTTCTATGTTTGAACAACAAGATGATTCTTCGTCGATGAACAACCAAATGGATCTTCCTTTAGAACAACATGTTGATCAAATCTCAGTTCCACCATCAAACACCAGTGGGCCACATCACGAAAACTTACCTAATGCAAATCAACATCACGATAATGACAAAGAAGATATTGATAGTGATTCAATTAATCAACAATTGCCAACACATTCGACCTTGACCAATGATAAACAAAAGCTCAATGAAAATCCATCAAAAGCTGAAGAAATTCAACAGCCACAAATTTCAGGTCCACATGATACTGCTAATATCGAGATAGATAACCATAGCCATTATACAACATACTTCTATAAACAATCAGACTTCAAAGATTACAAAGATTCAAAAATCGAACCACGTACGCCAAAATTATTTAGTGGCAAACGATTCATTTCATAAAAACCTTTTTTCTATAAAACTCTTTTCTCACAAACTCTAATCAAGAACACACAATTCATATAATTTCTACATATTTGTGAATAAACCTCATACATACTATAAATTCATCAACAAATTTTTTCAACAACTAACTTCAGAATACACAACAACGTAACTACTCAAGATTATTCTTCGTTATCCACATTATCATATCAACATAATCCCTTCTAACAAATAAAAACAACATATTGAAAGGCATAATAAAACAAAATCCAAATTCCAGCAATCCGAACTTCCACTTTATAAGTTGCCCAAGGTAACCACAACAACAAACCGACACTAACTTTCGGCATAATAGAATACCAAATAGTTCTTCACACAGGAAACACACCGAGTGACGAACGCGCGATACGCAGCATCGTAAACAGTTTCCATTTGCAAAAAGCGTCATCAAAAGCCATCCGCACTGTGGGAGAGTGAGACATACCCGATCATCAAGCACTCTCCAAAAGGGTGTAGGTGTGGGTGTGGGTTTCGGTGTGGGTGTGGGTGTGGGTGGGTGTCCGTGTGGGTGTGGGTGTGGGTGTGGGTGTGGGTGTGGGTGTGGGTGTG